GGATAAGCAGCCTAGGCCTAGTAAGTAATAACTGTAATATAGATAGGCCTAGCCTACTACTAGGGGCCCAGGCATGGGCCTAGGCAAAGTAAAAAAAACATACTGATTAGCAGCAGACCTTCATAGTTTGAGACGTTGGAATTGTGCAATCTTTTCCTTGGCACAGTTCGCAGACTGTGCTAGTCTAGGAAGTCTTAATACACAATTTAAAGAATTTATTTGGACAGTTTGAAAACTGAGAAAGGAAATTGTTGCACAATTTTAACAATTTGTGCAGGCAATTTGCAAACACTTCTTCAGGGGTGCAAGACAAGGATTAGGCTACGTTAATTAATGGTGAAATTAAATATTTTTCTTTATTATTTTTCTTTACTATTTTTATTTAATTATTTTTATTATTTATTTTTATTATTGTTATTTAAGTTTATTATTATTATTATTATTATTATTAAAAGCACATAAATACAGACCAATTTTGGCCACGTACCGAGCGCTAATGCTGTTAAAAGAGAACGTATATTCACATGATGTGGTTTAGAAACCCGCTCTCAAAACCGTACTGTTCTGTGGAGTGCGAATAACCTGTACACATGCGACGGTGTGGTTTGCTCTAGTAAACATTGCAAATAGGGGTCTAGCTGGTATCGATGATATAATACTTTCTAGGCCTAGTGTTTATTTCAAGACTACAATTGATGTTAGCTTTTGAATAGAAGTATAATTTTCTAGAACTCCTAGCATACTTAGTTGAGGGTCTTAATTTTTGGGGTCTGATATTTTGAGTGGGTCTCAAAATCTCGTAATTCAAGGTCTTGCATCTTAGCTTTCGTAATGTCTGTGCTTTCGGAACACCCCTGTAGACAGGGAGGTTTTTTTTTCTATAATGAAACCATCCCTTGATGCATGCCAAGTCTTCAAATCCCAATGGAGAGCAAGACCTCATTTAAACTTCCTGTGCAGTGTTTTATCAATTGTATTTATACACTATGCCCCACACAAAATGCAAGACAAAATATTTACACAAAATAATTACAATACAAGCATAGCTGAAGTTTAATTATGGGCGGAAAGATGATATTGTCAAGATTGAAGATTGTTTATCTATTTGGAAAATCAGTTGATACATCACATCACAAAACAAAGAGCAGGATAATTATAATTAGGTGTTAAAACTTAATCGATAGTTGATTTTTAGTGGATAGTTTTACAAATTTATTTTTATATCTATTTGTTAGGTTTGAGTTTTGACCAAAAAAAAAAAATTATAAAGAGTCTAGGAACTCAAATTATTTGTCACCTTGAATGAACCTTACAATGCGGACATATGCATTTTCCTTATTTTTGTTCGTAATAACAAAATCAAATAACACAATAAACCAACTGAATTCAAATCAAACAACTTTTTATTTTTATGCAGGTAAATGTTAAAATATAGTTTAATGATACTCTTTGGGGAAAACAATGTAACTGCCATGATTAGGCAGACCCTCCATTAAAAATCAGCAAAAAAGAAAAAAAATACAAAACTGACATTCAGCATAGATATATGTACCTGCTGGGAGTTGTGTGTGAATGTATGTGGCTTAAAAGAGAACTAGCAAAAAGATTTTTTTGTTCTAGAGGAGATGTTCCATATGCCATTAATAATAGAATCAACCTTAAAATCGTTTTTTGGCAATTGTTTATGAAGTTATAAGCCATTATATACGATTTTACCGTGACGTAACTGGCCGTGTACGATCTTTGTGTATATGCAGTAACCATGGTTGTTGTAACTTGCATAATCAAGTCATGGGCCTATAACTGCATCAGCCGGTTGTCAATAAAAGAGTTACAATTTTAAGGTTGATTCTATTATTAATGGCATGTCAAAATTCCCCTTTAGAACAAAAAATCATTTTGCTAGTTCTCTTCTAAGCTTTGAATGGTTTGATTTATGTTAATGCAAACCTTGAATTTCTCACTGCCATCTGTATTCATCCCACCACTGCATCTTTTTTAGGGGGTAGCTGAAGACAAGCTACCATATCAGTGAAGGCCATTGTTTTATCATTCACAAAATTTACGTCAGCCATACTGTGCACACACCTAAAGAGGCACTGATAAACAACCATGGAGTATCAGCGTCATGGGTGAGTATAATTGTACTGTACAATTGAACAATTAGGATAGAACACAATATCTTTCAAAATGATTCTAGTTTAATGTAGTGACATGTTATTTTACAATACTTTCATCTGCATCAATATGTTAGGATTTCTTTTTATGATGATCCAAAAACAAAATGTTTTTTGACTTGCAACAAAGATAAAAAATAAACAAAGTTCGATTTTAGTACTACTGTAATTAATTATATCTATATTTCATTTTCATCTTAATGAAAACTGTTTTAATTAAAATATAAAAACTGTTTTTATTAAAATATTTTTGTCAATTTTGTTAACAATGACGATAGTGATCATGCCATGTCCAGGAATTGCATTTAAGGAAGTACAGTCTCGATTGTCTTAAGAATTTGGACTTTTTTCGATTTGGGGGATGTGTCCATCCATCACATCTCCTGGATACGAGCCTGGTTATGATGTCAAATATTTAAATTCATCAATCACGGTTGATGAAAGTAGTCTGTATTTAAATATCATGTCAAAGCAAAATATACTGTAAGATTCAGTTACAAACTTTGCTTGTGTATTATTTCACAGAAATGTGTTATATGACACTATTAGACACCGTGACTGGCAAGAAGTAAGACGTATCTGTGAAGAACATCCAAACCTTATTAACACTTACATCCACATCACAATTATTAACACTGGCAGAAGCAGAAAAGTTCTGGTGTGTATTCAGCTGATTATATACAATTCTGGGTGTGATTTAGTGATGAATTATCATTTTATTGGTTCTTCACTTCAGGCCTAAATTTACTGTAGTCCCAAACATTGCCTTAAGGCCTGTCTAGACTAAAATTTTATTTTACAAAAACATGTGACATGCCCAAATATGGTCATGATGACATCACATTGTGACCATATTTGGGCACATGATGACTATATATGGGTATACAACAGTTTTTTTGTCAAAGAACATTTTATAGTGTGGACAGAGCTTTAGTTTTAGTAATTATTAGCTGTGTGAGGCTTGTGTAGGCCACGGCTTGTGTAATATCCTCAGCTAGGAGGATTCAGTGCTTATGATGGTCCATCTGTGCAACTGTTCTTTGTACAGTGAGTTCAACGTTTGCACAGCCAAATTTACATTCTTTCTCCACCCTACCCAGTTCCCTTCCAATATGTTCTTTATCCCCTCACAACTGATTCCCAGTCAAACCCAACTTTTTTTGCTAAAATGGAAAAGACAATTGCCAAAAAAGCGCCGTAACAAATCTTGGCTTGTCATTGCCAAGATATTGTGGCCAATACAAATCAGTGCAGTGAATATAATGAACAAGAGTTAACAACATATCCACATCAATTTCACAACAAAGGTACAACTCTCTTACAATTCTGCTGCAGTAAACTATATTTTTTTTCCCCCATTACTACGGTAGAACAAGATTTTTTCCTAACATTTCCTATAAAGTTGTACTTCTATGGTGAATCATGATTGACCACAAAACCATAGCAAACATTGTGTGTGTGGGGAAGGGCATTAAAGTGTTAGTTGGCCTTGCCAGCATTTATTTTTGAAATTACTGTACTTGCGTTTTCTGATCCCCTGGTGTAAGCTGATCCCCTCAACCCTAATTTACACTGAATATTAGAAGGGGTGTATTAGGAACGTTTTTATGTGTGTCTTGCACTATACAGATTGCTTACAATTTTGTAAACAATGAGTCCACCTACCAATGATTTGAATGTTTGATGAAGGTATGTTGTTATTTTGTACATTTGTATGTCTGTTTTATAGAGTGATGAAACACCATTATTATATGCTATGAGACACCAACCATCTGCACCAGAAGACTTGATGCTACTGATGGTTGAAAAAGCTACAGTAGGGAATATAGAATTTGAGTCCAATGTAAATGAAATTCAATAGCATTGTATGTTATTCAAAAAACAAAACATGTATATATATTATATTATAGTAAATTATAGTTAATTATTTCATTCTGGACTAACAGTGAGATTTTTATGTTTTATTTAAAACTGAGTAGCCAGCCTATGATCATCATTTCAAAATATAATATATAAATAAGATTTTTTTTTTAACGTGAGAGATAATGATGTTTATAGATTAATTTATACTATTTACTAGCTATATTGTTGACAAAAAAATGTTATACTGTATCACAATTAGTCTTGCTTGAAAATATAAATTTAAATTGTGTCTTAGAAGAAGTGAAGTTGTCCTTTTAATTATTATATTGTATGTATGGTTTTACTTGAAAATCATCATTAAAAAACATTGAAATATGTAATCTTTATGTATAAAATTATTATTATATGACATGTTATTGTGATTAGTTATGTGTGTTGTTGGTATGTTTGTATTCCTTTACCTTATTTTATGTTTGTCTTTTAGTTGGGTGAAACTGTTATCAGTTATTTGGCACAGCATATGTATACATCAGCATTGAGATATGCATTGGAAAAGTCTGCAAGCAAAATAAACACAGGAGACTATAGTGGTGTAATATTGGACGGTAAATAAAGTTAATATCATCAAATTCAATCACAAACCTGAGTCAGCTAAACTGGTTGTAGCTACTGGTGTGTCCACAAAGAATTTTCTTTGGCAACTCCATGTCAGACTTTTTCATTTTGAACTATTCCATTCCTCAGGGTTCAATTTTGGGACCTCAGTAGTTTTTGTTAAATTTTAACCTTTCTTATCATATTTATGCTGATGATAGGCAGATCTATATTTCTTTTAAACTTGCTGAAGAATTTGATGTGAAGATTGAATCTCTCAGAAATTGTATTTCTGAGTTGAAAACTTGGATGTCCGAAAACTTCTAAAAGTAAATGAGCACAAGACAGAATTCATCGTCTTGTTTCCCTCAACAAAGAAAATATACCAAGACCTCCACATCAACATTGGGGAATGTCAGATCGATCAACTACCTCATGTATAGAATTTGGGTATTACACTTGATTCTTCAATGACTTTGAGTTAGCACATTCCCAAAATCACCAGTCCTCAACATATCACTTGTGCAATATACATGCATTTGTTACCTCAGATCTTGACTTTGAAATTCTCTTGTTTTTTTGGTTTTGAAACAGTGAAACATCACTCAGTGTTTTCTGGAAACTTTTTATTTTGTATACAGTATTTTTGACTAAAGTTTTTTTTCACATTTCCTTTTTCAAATATAAAACAAGGGAACATTGTTCTCTGGTAATAAAACCATGGTCGACTAACTCCCCTCCGTAGGTAGGTCTACGTACGTGTGCTGCGTCGTCGTAGTCGCCTTAAAAAAAACGAAAACAGCTCTTGGTGTAGTACACGAACAGTGTCTTGGCGTTGCCGTCATGGTCCATTAGTTCGTAGTAGACTGGCTGCGTAGTCAAAACAAAAAATGCCTATTATAAACAATACAATAGTGATGTAGATGGATTACAGGCCAATTATCTAATCTTTTATGCTGTAATATACAAAGTAAAAACCGACAGAGATTAAAGCGGTCAGGTGTTGAGATAGTGGTGTTAAAGATTAAACAATTCTTAATTAAGATTACATAGTAGAATAGTAAGATGGGAAACAGACCTAACTACACTATAAGTGAATAATTATGAAATCTTAAAATGTAAATGCTGGAATATATGAATTAAAAATTCATTAACCAATATGCTTATAAATAGGCTTATACAATGTACAGATAAAGATATATATACATATAAATTGACATATAAAAATAATGGTATGGTGTTAATAGAGAAAGCATATAAGATGTCAATTGTGAACTGAATAGAGATGGTTAAAATTAATTGTATGGGAATTTTTAATCACTGATAAAATCTATATCTTTATTGAGGCATGTCGTGTGGGTTTTGTGTTCAAAAGTTTGAGTTTGGAAATGCGGCGATCGTTCAGAGATTTAAAGTTATTGGCTATGAGTAGACATCTCAAATCATGGATGTTATCCTTAGGAGAATTGAAATGTGTGGCTATTGGAAGGTTCTTACCTGTGCGGATTGATGATTTGTGATTATTAAATGAATGAGGTTTTGTGGTGATGCGTGAGGATGTGAGGAGGGGTTTCATATGGCAATATTAAATGTAATAAGCCTCGCTGTTAAATATGCACACATATTATCACTAACAACACAATCACACTCCCAGTCACTAACCACAAAATTCACGCCTCTCAACTCACATGTGACTCGACTACCAACATGATTTACATCATAATTTGTAATGCATGTGATCATGGCACCTAGTACATCGGTGAAACCAGTGGATCTTCTTTTAGAAGTAGATTTAATAATCGCAAATCATCAATCCGCACCAGTAAGAACCTTCCAATAGTGTAGTTAAGTCCGCTTCCCACCATATTATTCTACTATGTATGTTTAATTAAGAATTGTTTAATCTTTAACACCATTATCTCAATACTTGACCGCTTTGATGTCTGCCAGATTTTACTTTGTATATTACAGCATAAAGTATTTGATAATTGGCCTATATTCCATCTACATCACTATTGTATTGTTTATATTGTACAGTATACAACTTGCAACAGCCAATCTTGTGCATTCAGTAAAACTGATGAAGGCCAGAGG